TAACTCGAAACGACATAAGTCGAGGTATACCTGTATTTTACATTTAGAATATTGTCAGTCGATATGCAAAACTAATCTGTTAACATTCTCTTTAGACTATCCAAACCTTTATAAGTTACTTTTGATCTTAAATATGATTGTTAGAACTTGCAATCTCTTGATCTGCAAGTTACGACAGTTACATTTAGATTTTCTTTCAAATTTTTGGCTTGAAGTTAGTTAAAAGTCATATTGATGTCACAATGAACATAAAAGATTATGATATCAGAAATAATTTTAAAGAATTCCTTCAAATTAAAGCTAGAGGTTAAATATGCAAGGTCTGGAACTATAGAATAAATTTATGTTCAAACAATATACAGCATATATTTTCAAAGAAAATGCACAGTATAACCTTCAGGTATGTTTGCAGATGAAGTACTGTCTTTCTTTTTATTCAGCATCTTGGCAGATGGAAATAAATATGGTGATCCCTGTGTTCTCTAACAAAAAACAAACATGGTGAGTGACTAACTGCTGCTTTTATTGGAGTATGTAATCATTTAGACATTAGTACTTTCAGATTCATTAATCAAATATCTTTGGAGAGGAGATGATCAGTGAGTCTGAAAGTATAGGGTATGAAAGAGAACATACATAAGCAACTGTGTCCAGTAAAAGCAGATGCAAGTTACTACGAAACCAAATGATTGTCAGATTTAAATCGGGCTAGTTTACAGCTGCTATTAATTAATAATTAAATATTAAAATTAATTAAAATAGTTATTAACAGTAGCAGTAAACTAGCCAGATTTAAATCTGGTGATTGTTTGGTTTCATTATAAAGTATCGGGCTTTGAGATGTTTATATAGGTCAGTTACTAGTTTGAAATATGATGTTTCATGTGCAAAGATATATAGAAGTTAAAACATGTTGGTTGAGTATTGTCTTTGAAACTATACTGTATATTATTTGAAAATATTCTTATACAATTCTAGATTTTGAATGCTCCATCCAAAAAAGCATAGGCATCTTTAGATTTAATACTGAAGGCCATAAATATAAAGAAAAAAAGGTACGAAAGGTTAACAGCTTTAAGCAATGATTTAAGAAATGTCATTTCTTGTAGATGATTTGACATTTTATTAAATTTTTAAAATTTGAATTCTTAAAGTATAAGTTAAAGAAATGCTTTTATGATATAAATTGTTGGTTTTAAAATATTTTATAACCAATGAATGCTAAATGTTTGTAATCAATAAACAATTGGAGATATTGTCAAAAAAAAGAATAAATGTGAAATTATTGCCAATGCATTGTTTCATAGATATTTAATTTTTTTTTGAAGTGGAATTAAGCTTGCTTAATTTCTTTAATCACTAAGAATTTTTAATAATTGCACTTTGGAAATAATTAAAACAGCAATGTGATGTATAAATGCAATAAAAAAAACAGTAACAAAGTATCGTATGTAACGTCTGTTTTTTATTATTGATAGATATAATCAAATTTCTCTATTATTCACTTTGTTTTTAAATATTAGTAAACCAAAATAATGAATTTCTACCTTCGGAATACAGGAAAAAAAAAAATTCATAGTCAAGTTATACATACTGGCTTTAAATTCATAATTCAAATTTTTGAAAGAATCAATTTAATAAAGTAAAAGAAAATTAACACGTACGCAGCTATAATAGTGGATAGTTTCTTAATTAAATGATTAAATTTGATTTTGTGTAATTTCTTATTACTAAAAACTACTCATAAATTCGAAAATGTATGTCTTGAAGATGTGTATACACATATTGAAGACAAGTTGTCTGATGTTTTCTAGAGATTGTCTATGTGAATTCTAGAGATGTGTGGTTGTCTGTGTGTTTTCTACAGATAATTTTCTATGATTTAAATATTGGTCGCTAAATAATTTCTGGCTCAAATAAAAAAAATGGGAAATATTTATTATTGATAATGTCTTTGAAGTACTGCATGCTTGTATCTTATGCACATAAAGGAAAACTTCAATTTTTCTTAAAGTTGGTTGATATAAACCTGCAGGGTTCTGTAGCAATGCACAGATGAGAGTATGAAAACATTTCTCTTTCCTCACAAGAAAGATTTATGATGATAATGTATTTTAAATATAAAATATATCAATCAAGATTAAATTGAATCGTCTTTTGAATCCATGTTAATATAACTTAAAAATCTGAAATATCTTTGATTAAAGAAACAATAGAAAAATCCCATATTAGATGATAGATGAGTGTTTTTGAGGTTTATCCAGGGCTGTGGAGTTGGAGTCGGAGTCGTGGAGTTTTGGTGTTTTAGCCGGAGTCGGATTGGTAAGGAAAAGTCGGAGTTGGAGTCGGTAGATTTTTATGCAACTCCACAGCCCTGGGTTTATATCTCAGTTTGAAACTTGAAACAATCAAAGGAAAGGACTTCTTTCAGACTTTAAGCAGAATTCTTTCTTTAGAATTTTATTTGTTAATGATAAAACTGTATTATACTGTATTTAGATTAATTTGGTATTGTTACTTCTAAATTTACAAAATAAGTAATGGGTTCATTGCCTAGTAAAGTGGTTTTAATATGGCTGGGTAAGCAAACCATTGACATTTTTTAATACAGCTGTATTAAAGTCACGTTACTAGGCAATGTATCAGGTGATTAAATTTCTCCTATTCTTAAATATGATAAATGATACATTTAAATCTTTTTTAAAACTGTTAAATCAGTACAATGCCTTATTAGTTTCTTTAATACATTAAAATTATCTACTTTAAATATTCTAACAGATTAGTGAATCTTGACAGTAAATCAAGAACAGTATGACATAATAGCATATCTATTGTTATTTTTAGATAGAGAAAAATACTAATACATTATATATTAGTACTAAATATTCTAATATAATAATTGTAATGTTCTAAATATATCTAGTACACTATAATTCTGTAAGAAAAAGATTGTTGGAACAGAAACTTTTTCTTAGCACGTTGACCGCCATCCGACGTGCCGGTTAGGGCCGTGCGTACGACCACCTGACTTCACTATAACCAATATAGTGTTTCACTCAAGTTTAAATTATCCTGGCTTCATAAGACATTCTTTTACATTTTAATAGTGGCCTCTCGCGCACATCTATAAAGTTGGCTCCGACCGCCAGCGGTCGTATGGCTGTTTGTGGGCCTGATTGGTATGACCACTGGTACATCGGATAGCAATTAACGTGTTAATCAAACACTTTCAGGCTATAAACAATCACCAAGAGCGAAGAAAGGTGATTTTACTTCAAATAAAACAGTTTAGAGTTGTTGAATGTTGTATTTTTATTATTAAATTAATAAAAAAAGTATAGGTTTCTAAGAATCCTAAAATTTATTCATTATAAAGAAAACAGTAATATAAAATTATTATTTTTGTGTATAAAATTTGTTTTTATATTAATAAAAATTTCTTTTTCATTATTTCTATTTAGCAATAGAAGATTTGATTTATTTTATCTCATAATTAGTGTTTATAAAAATAAATTAATACATAAATTAGTAGTTTTAAGAGCTGTGATATATAATTTTTTTATTATTATGAGATTTTTTCCTTTAACAACTTTCCTTAATTTTCTGTGCATTTTTTGTTGAAACATTATAGAAAAATGATCTCAGTATTGCTTCTAGATGCTTTTTCAGTTTTTATAAGAAAGTATTTTTATATATAATTTTCTTAATAATCTTTTATTTATGTTAAATTATTTAAAAATCTATTTTTAAAGTATAGTTTTATATTCATGCATGTGAAAAACTATTATTAATAACAATAATTCAGCTTGTCTCTGCCCTTGTGTAAAACAAGAAAAAATACATTGTTAAATGAATCTCTTATAGTAATAATCAATCAAAGAAGGAATTGTAAATCAGTTCTAGTTTTTGTGCACTCAAACATTTGATATGTCGAGATAACATGTTGCCTGTTTAATAATAATCAGACACCTTCTGCTTCACGGTCAAATTATCCTCCCTGTCGCTTGTTAATTCCATTATATTCTTTCTCACTCAATAATTTATCCATAAAGTAAATTTAGAGATTATAAAGAACATAAAATTAGTATAAAATATTACTTATAAAATATTAACTCTTTGTAATTTATGCAACGTACCTATAAATAACTTCTGTCTGACATAAAATCGAGAGATTATGGTTTGTCTTTGTGGGAAATTAACTTTTGTAATTGTTAAGATGAGTCGAATCTAAATTTAGGTTGCATGATGATGATAATTCCAAAGCTATAAAGTGTTTTATAGTCATAATTTCGTCGTCTCTTATAAAATTAAATCGTCATAAATTTTCAATTGCATTTTTAAAAAAACAGAGTTGAACGAACTGTTCTTTAAAGTGTTATATTTAAATTTATTAATCATCATATTAAATTATATACACAGAAGAAGTGTCGTAATCCGTTACGAAAAGTCCGACTCAAAATTCTAACCGAGGTGTGGCTTATTCGTATCTAGTAACCATATTTAAGAATAAAATTATTTAAACAATTCAAAACATGTAGGAGTAACAGGGCGTGGTAATAATAAGTTAAAGCACAGCTAAAACTGAGCTTGAGTTTTTACGTCACGTTAAAAACTAAGCAGTTACGTCCATGTACTGGTTTTGATCGATTGGTACTTGTTCGATGCTAACAGAAAGTTCAAGAGGAGGAGATAATATATACATTTTTTTTTGTATTTATGCCTAATTAAAGTTACTCATTCGAGTTTCGAATGAAGTAGAATTGGCTACATCAACTTCAGATCTTTTTTTTTTTCTGTAGTTAGAATTGTTAATTAACTTATTTACATGATTACATGCGGCATATTCCACCTGATGGCAATTTTTCATTGAACATTCTCGACAGGATCATCTCGTTTTAATTCCAAGACTAAATGGAGAGAACCACATCGACCACTTCCAAATTTCACTAAGGTTTTTCTTGAGCGTGCGGCATTTACGCATGATAAAAAACACAGAAAAGTCCTTATGAATATTTTATTGGAAGAAATAGCTTGAACGCTTACAAACTTGAGCACATCTCTCAAAATATGAAAAATTCCTTAAATGCTACATTAAAAAATATTCCACTCGTAAAAAATGAGCAAAGCGTAAAGAAAAAAAAACAAAAAAAAAATTCACTAACTTGGATCAAAATATGAAAGCACCAAACAAACCAAATTACAGAGATAAATGCTTTTTTATATAGGATTTGTTCTTTGTTTAAAATTATATTTTTATGGGTTTTAAACATGGTTTTCTTTTTCTTTAAACATCTACATATATAATTAATTATTAGGATATTATTGTAGACTGTAAATATTGAGCTTAATCCCAAACAATATTTGTGGATACAGTTATAAAATATATATTGAAAATTGAATTTAAGATAGAATATTTTGTTTGTTTTTAATATATCACTTATATTTATCACTTCTATTCTCTATATTACTGTGCTATTAAAAAAATGTTCTCCTTTCCTCCTCCTATTGACTAACATAGTTTTTTTTTTTTAGAGTAGTTTAAACTTATCTTCATTTTTTGTTTTTGTTTTGTTGAAAATCATCTTCTTACATCATCTGAAATCTAAAATATTTAATTATTAGTTAGTTTATAAAGTTAATTTTACCATAAAAAAAAGAGAATTTGTAACATAACTTGAACTGAACTTTAATTATGTTAGAGTATTGCCTTTCAAAGGTGTTAAATTTAGTTTCTTTTATTACAATTGTTTCTTGTATCTGCGGTTTTAAAATACAGTTTGGATCCTGTTTCAATTTTGTCAAGTTTAAATAAAATAATTGTATTATGCGATGTGTTGTTAATCTGTTGTATAAGAGACTTTTTCTGGAAGAATATTGGGCAATTTTATATTATTTTGACTTATTTTCAATGTGGTTTTGTATGGGACACATCCTTTATGCTTATAATAAGTGTGAAAACAATGCTGTAAAGCAAGCTATGCATAAAATTTCGGACTGGAGGTGGAATCTGAATGTACTGCATGTATATGTGCATACGTATAATAGATTCCTGCTTTTATGGCCTAATTGCTTCTTGGAAAATCATCCTTAAGTGAATCATTATTTTTCCTATAGAGTCAATGTCATGAATCAATGTTGTGTTCCTGGAAATAGTTTGAACTACATAATACTACACTGAAACAAAAATATAGAGCATTCATTAGTCGTAATGATATATATTGGTTGTAAAAGCAGTATCGTAAAGTGAGTGGCTGTAAGGCAGGGATCTCCTACCTATATAAATACAAAGGGGCTGTACATTAATTAAGGGTACAAGATAATGGAAAGGGAGTTGCGTATCATTGTACTGTACATCATGGTGGGGAGGGGATCAATGCATTGTGTATGTGGGCTTGTTTTAGTGGTGTTAGTGGCATACAAATTTGTTCTAGTCACGTGAATAAACTATCAGTTATAAAACTGCAAATATTTTTTGTCATTTCTTTAATGTTGGGGTGTATGGACTATTGTACACATATAATTAAAGGGGAGGAGGTTTTGACAAAAGTACATTATGTACCGTACATTAAAGGAAGGGAATCGGAAACTGTGCAGTATACAGATTTTATATCAAGTTAATTTAATAAATTTTTTTCTTTGTCGAACACTGCATCTTATGCATTAATAAGTATATTTTTATTAACTTTAATGCAAGATTAAAAGCTTTAAGTTGTTTTCATTGAAATTCAGTATATTTTTAAATCACGATTTTGCATTAATCCTTCACAAAAACAAAATTCAAACTTGTAATCTTCCTAACTGAATAAATATAACTAAGATTCAAGTCTTCTGTAGTCTTGAACCATAGTTATATTTCTTCGTCGTGTTCATTCATCATCATGTTCAAAGACTACAGAAGTCTTGTATATAATGATGAATGTTTAATATGGTCAAAAATCTTTGTTCTTTAAAACTTTCTGCTGGATTTTAAGTTACAATTGAACAGAAAGTTTTATAAAATCACCATTTTTGACCATTCATCATCATCATCAAAAGTTTTGTGATTTAACAAACTTCATTTTTGAGATATTTGGAGACCATTCTATGATGTTTTCTCTCTCAAATATACTTATTTTTAATTAAATAGAATAATGTAGTTCCTACTCTTCTCAGTTTAAGTGCGTAAACTATATTTTTTCTTAACACACAACAGTCTGACCCCTTCAAAAACATTTGATTCATCCTTGACATCATTTGAAGATAAAATTCATTGGGTTAAGCCAGATTATCAATGCTTAATCTGGATTTTAAGCTTATAAACTGCATTTTTATATAGAATTTATAAATAAAACACTATAAGTCTTTGATAAAATTGTCTTATTTGTTAGTTCATAATAAGAAATTTGGCAGTACAGTTTAGTAAAACTTAGTTAATTCTAGGATCTCTCTGAATCTAGGCAGATTTGGAAGGATACTTTAAATTTGAATATATAAAAATATTTGGATAAATTAAGATTTAACAGTTACATTCACTTTCAACACACAAGTTCAAATTATATTCTATTAAATACAAGGCTGGTCTACGTCAATCCCTGCCTGCATTTAATGTTATGTAGTAGCTAGTGACTTAAGCTTAAGGCTGTAACGTATAACAGGCCCTTTTCCCTCCACAAAACTGTGATGTCCTAAGCTACAGACTCATAAGATGAGGCCCTACGCTGTAGACTCAAACACCAGGCCCTAAGCTGCATCTCATCTTATATGTAAATTGATTAACCTAATTTACTCTGTTAAATTAAAATATTTAAACTAAATAAGAATTAGTTTATTCCTGAGATTTATATTTTTCCATTTTATTTTCCTCCAAATTCTATATTTATGTATGATTATGCTCTATTAAATTCTTATTATAGAGCCGACTTTTATTACTCTTACACAACTTCTAAAGCTACTAAATTTGGCATGTGTCATGCACTTTACTATGGAATTCTCCTCGCCTTCACCCCTTCAAACCGATTAGTTAAGATCATTAATTTAGCATGAAGAATGACACTGGTGGCACGCATCTTACAAGTTAGGAGGGGATTGCAGCTGATGTAAAATGTGTGTAAACTTAATAAATTTTAATTAAAAAGCCATAAAATTAATTGTAATGTGATTAAAAACTCGTAAATTAGTTGAAATTCCTGTTTTTTTTTTTTTTTTTTGAGGGAATTATCTTATATTTTGAAAGGATCTTGCCTTCTGTCACCGGTTTTAACCCCCGCTGACCCTGTATAAGTGGCATATTAAAACGTGTTTAATAATATAGGCAATTGAGAACTCGTGACCTTTTAAAAAAATGGAATTTTAACAAGTTATAAATTCTAGAAATTTAATTATATTTAAATAATAATCCAAGGTAAACGGTTATAAAAATATACTTACTTAAAATTCCAGACATTATCGATTACTTCTATATGTCTCCCGTTATCGGGTTTCGTCTCACTGCAATTTATTTAAAAAAGAACTTAAATTAAAATAACGTAAATTATCCAAAAAAAAAAAGAAATACAGTTTTAACCTTGTGATTTTGTATGTTTTCTATCGATTTTGTAGGAACAAAATGGGGTCAGTGACGGAATTATCAAAGAGAAATGCCATTAAAACTCCTAACAATTGCTGTTTTTTAGCTTTAAAATTTATTGTATTTGTAATCTAAAGAAGGGGGAGGAAATGTGGGTCACTTAAACAACATTAAACAGTTTCGAATTCACAAATTGCATTTTTTTTTAATGGAGGTAATTGCATATTGTTCAAACATTGTTATCAAGGTTGCGCTGGAACACTAAGAGCGAAATAACCAAATTCTTGCCTTAAAATAAGGTGAAATAAGGACGGTTGATGACCCTAAAGTAGGGTCTAACCTTATACAAAAGTCCTGGCACGCTGTACGTGAACTTGTACCACCCGTTAATGTTAAGTACAGTACATATTGGATGGAGAATCATCGAGGATAGCAAAACACACAAATCCAAGTTCAACCCAAAATCGTGACTTGTCTTCCATTATTCCCTGCAAGAATGGCGTTACACGATGACCCGCGTATAGCGTTTTTTTTTTATTTTGTAATTTTTTTTGTATATGGGAATTAACAATGTCACCGTTCCTCTTCTTAGAAATTACTGTGGGGGTGTCGAAGCGTACACGCTTTGTAACTACGAGGGTGTTGCGGAATTGCGTCAGAGGCGCTTTTTTTAACGTTCATCCGGATAAAAACACCGGTTTTTAACGCGAATTCATTACATACAATAACCCGCTTTTGTTGCATGTACGGGTTGTACACACGCTGCTGCAACTTACCATAATTTCGAGGAGATGGAGAGTGGTTCTGTTCGGACGGTTCAAAGATGCTGGACTTCATTCTGTCCACGGTTTTTCGTGGGGTCGAACCTTCTGGTGGACCGAACAGCCTGTACTGTGTGTTACTGTACTTGCTACTGTTGCAACTGTCGGTGGAACAGGCGCTCGGGGTCCTACTGCCGTGTTCCCTTTTGGGGGTGTCGTAACCATTGTTTTCTCCGAATATGCGAGATTCCATGTAATTCTTCGATTTTCGATGTTCCAGTGGAGTATGACCATTCGTTATGGGGCTGAATATGTTGGATTGGCTGTAATTCTTTACTTTGCGTGGCGTATCTTCTTGAGGGGAGTCAGTACTGTCGAATATGCCACTGTTTCTACCACTGGGTGGTGTGACGATCCTACAGCAAAATAAAGACGAAAATATCAATTTTTTGAGCCTTTGTTATTAAAAATAGATCCAGACAAAAGAAGAAAAACACGTGACATTCGCGTGCTCGTTCCAGAACTTTACTCGAGTGTGCCGTTTTCTCCTTGTACTCTAATCGTTCATCTTTTCCTTAATATTCATCTAATATCCTTTAATATCTCTAATTTTCCCTAATATTCCTCATCTTTCCTTATCCTTCACTTAATATTCCTTCATTAACAACTAAAAACAAGGAGATAGAACAGCTCATCCACTCGAATTGCACTGTTCTTTTCCTGCCACTTGCCATTAAAATTATTAATGGTTCTAACCTCCTATTTTATCTAAACCTTTCCCCTTTCCTCCTACTCGTGTTTTACTTAGTTTCCTCCCTTCTAGTTTAATTTAAACTCAATTCCTCCAAAGCATATGCAAATTTATCCATCCTTAAGTGTTTGTTCCTCAAAGACAAGCCCTCCTCATCCTCAACATAAATTGAAGAGGGAAACAAGTTTTTCAATATAAAAAAAAGGACTTTTTTTCTTCCCAAATTTTACATTTATGTTCCACTCTCACGCTTTAGTGAAGTGTAAGATACACGAGGTTAGGAACAAATGTTTCATGATGATTTGTTTTTTTTTTTCCTTACTTAACGCATGGAAGACATCAGAAATTGTTAAGCAAATTCTCAGTTTAATACAAATATGTCGAAACGATCGATGTGTAACAATTGTCGACGGCGATTCTTAGAAGTAATTCTTCATCTTTGAAGACATTTTGAAAATCCATTCTTTCTTCCGTTCTTTGTCACTCAACCATTAATGCTTGTCGATTAATAGTTGAATGACCCTAGTGGATTTTCATGCACCATTCTTTTTTTTTTCGTCTTTTCTCTTGTTGTTTTACACATTTCACTGTGAAATTACACTATTTTTATCATTTGAAACTACATAAAAACTTGCTGGACATTTTCCGGATGAGTTTTCTTAATTGTTTCTCTTCAAAATAACGAAAGAAAAAAAACCCTTCCACATCATCCGTATCCCATTCCATTATACGGAGAGAGACGGATGATGATTATATCTAAAATTGAATTTTCACAAAATACCACGCGATTTTCAACTCAAATTCTCATACAAACAGTTTCATCGGATAGTTCTTCACGAAATTAAATAAATTCGGGCATTGTTTCTTTACAAAACACCGTCCTCGTCGGCCGTATGCTGTCGGATCTCGATACAGCGCAATCTAATTGTCACTAAATCGAAGAATATTAAGCTATAACAGTTATTTACAGTGTCTTTACTTTGGGGGGGTAATAATAAACTTTAAACAGTGGTGCGTTATAGCGAATTTAAATCAACAGAGCCCCGTGTATAGTGTAGACTTCAGACACTTTTTTTTGGGAAGAAATAGTTTCTTATGAAAGATTGGTTCTCTGTTGAAGGAGGCCCTTTTTTCTCCCTGATTTTGAAATGGTTATTCAGAGATAACGTATGCTAATACTACAGTCGAACCCCCCCTATAACACTGTTGATAATTCCGTTTTATATGAATTCCATGTTGTACGAGTCACTTAGATTTTACAAATACGTGTGCCGGGCTGTGAACGGCTCACGTATTTGTAAAATCTAAGTGATTCGTACAACATGGAATTCATATAAAACGGAATTATCAACAGTGTTATAGGAGGGTGGGTCGACTGTACTAAAAGCCAAATAAATAAAATAACGTACAATTCTCAGGTAGAAACACATAAGAGGAACGTAAATGATAAATTGAATACCATTCCCTACTTTTTTTTTAATTTACTTTTTACTTTTTTGAAAGTCGTATGCATTCAATTTTGCAACTGTTCTACCTTTTCCCATGGGAAACGGGAAACGTTCATAGTTTTATACTTGTCGAGTGTTTTTTTTTATTTATTTATTTTTTAAAATTTTATTTTAAAATATCAAAGAAAGTGTGTATATTTTTAAAAAATAAAAAATAAAATCGCAAGTGTTTCTTCCTTAAATTCTCCCGAAATTTTGTTTCGTGGGATTATATACTTCAGCGATTGCAGGAAACGATCGTTAAAAGCGGGATTTTTATTTTTATTTTTAATGCTTGTAATCGAGTTGTGCACGTGTTGATAGCGTGCTTAAATTACAACAAAGCACTGTATTTTATTTCGAAGAAGAAGAATAATTAAAATTTTGCAACGTGCACCAAAATTCCGTTGAGAATTAATTGCTAAACTCTTCAACTTTTGAGTGATTTAAAAAATATATATATATATATATATATATATGAATTCTGTAAGATTTCTAACGGATCTTTAACAGGGTGGTCCAAAAGTCGGTTAACTGCTATTAAGACTAGATAATAAATATATTTCTTATTCAGCGAGTCGCGCGGTTAACTGATTTTTGGATCACCCTTCGTATGTATAACAACATTTGGAACTTTGAAATATTTTTTCCGAATTTTCTGATTTAATNATATTCTAATATAATAATTGTAATGTTCTAAATATATCTAGTACACTATAATTCTGTAAGAAAAAGATTGTTGGAACAGAAACTTTTTCTTAGCACGTTGACCGCCATCCGACGTGCCGGTTAGGGCCGTGCGTACGACCACCTGACTTCACTATAACCAATATAGTGTTTCACTCAAGTTTAAATTATCCTGGCTTCATAAGACATTCTTTTACATTTTAATAGTGGCCTCTCGCGCACATCTATAAAGTTGGCTCCGACCGCCAGCGGTCGTATGGCTGTTTGTGGGCCTGATTGGTATGACCACTGGTACATCGGATAGCAATTAACGTGTTAATCAAACACTTTCAGGCTATAAACAATCACCAAGAGCGAAGAAAGGTGATTTTACTTCAAATAAAACAGTTTAGAGTTGTTGAATGTTGTATTTTTATTATTAAATTAATAAAAAAAGTATAGGTTTCTAAGAATCCTAAAATTTATTCATTATAAAGAAAACAGTAATATAAAATTATTATTTTTGTGTATAAAATTTGTTTTTATATTAATAAAAATTTCTTTTTCATTATTTCTATTTAGCAATAGAAGATTTGATTTATTTTATCTCATAATTAGTGTTTATAAAAATAAATTAATACATAAATTAGTAGTTTTAAGAGCTGTGATATATAATTTTTTTATTATTATGAGATTTTTTCCTTTAACAACTTTCCTTAATTTTCTGTGCATTTTTTGTTGAAACATTATAGAAAAATGATCTCAGTATTGCTTCTAGATGCTTTTTCAGTTTTTATAAGAAAGTATTTTTATATATAATTTTCTTAATAATCTTTTATTTATGTTAAATTATTTAAAAATCTATTTTTAAAGTATAGTTTTATATTCATGCATGTGAAAAACTATTATTAATAACAATAATTCAGCTTGTCTCTGCCCTTGTGTAAAACAAGAAAAAATACATTGTTAAATGAATCTCTTATAGTAATAATCAATCAAAGAAGGAATTGTAAATCAGTTCTAGTTTTTGTGCACTCAAACATTTGATATGTCGAGATAACATGTTGCCTGTTTAATAATAATCAGACACCTTCTGCTTCACGGTCAAATTATCCTCCCTGTCGCTTGTTAATTCCATTATATTCTTTCTCACTCAATAATTTATCCATAAAGTAAATTTAGAGATTATAAAGAACATAAAATTAGTATAAAATATTACTTATAAAATATTAACTCTTTGTAATTTATGCAACGTACCTATAAATAACTTCTGTCTGACATAAAATCGAGAGATTATGGTTTGTCTTTGTGGGAAATTAACTTTTGTAATTGTTAAGATGAGTCGAATCTAAATTTAGGTTGCATGATGATGATAATTCCAAAGCTATAAAGTGTTTTATAGTCATAATTTCGTCGTCTCTTATAAAATTAAATCGTCATAAATTTTCAATTGCATTTTTAAAAAAACAGAGTTGAACGAACTGTTCTTTAAAGTGTTATATTTAAATTTATTAATCATCATATTAAATTATATACACAGAAGAAGTGTCGTAATCCGTTACGAAAAGTCCGACTCAAAATTCTAACCGAGGTGTGGCTTATTCGTATCTAGTAACCATATTTAAGAATAAAATTATTTAAACAATTCAAAACATGTAGGAGTAACAGGGCGTGGTAATAATAAGTTAAAGCACAGCTAAAACTGAGCTTGAGTTTTTACGTCACGTTAAAAACTAAGCAGTTACGTCCATGTACTGGTTTTGATCGATTGGTACTTGTTCGATGCTAACAGAAAGTTCAAGAGGAGGAGATAATATATACATTTTTTTTTGTATTTATGCCTAATTAAAGTTACTCATTCGAGTTTCGAATGAAGTAGAATTGGCTACATCAACTTCAGATCTTTTTTTTTTTCTGTAGTTAGAATTGTTAATTAACTTATTTACATGATTACATGCGGCATATTCCACCTGATGGCAATTTTTCATTGAACATTCTCGACAGGATCATCTCGTTTTAATTCCAAGACTAAATGGAGAGAACCACATCGACCACTTCCAAATTTCACTAAGGTTTTTCTTGAGCGTGCGGCATTTACGCATGATAAAAAACACAGAAAAGTCCTTATGAATATTTTATTGGAAGAAATAGCTTGAACGCTTACAAACTTGAGCACATCTCTCAAAATATGAAAAATTCCTTAAATGCTACATTAAAAAATATTCCACTCGTAAAAAATGAGCAAAGCGTAAAGAAAAAAAAACAAAAAAAAAATTCACTAACTTGGATCAAAATATGAAAGCACCAAACAAACCAAATTACAGAGATAAATGCTTTTTTATATAGGATTTGTTCTTTGTTTAAAATTATATTTTTATGGGTTTTAAACATGGTTTTCTTTTTCTTTAAACATCTACATATATANACTACCTCAAAAATACTCATAAATTACCAAAAACCCCTATTTAAAACCCCTTAAAGTACCTGAAACTATCTCAGTTTACAACTTCAA